TGTACAGTATTCAAAGTTTTAAGGTTTCCCCAAATTGATATACCAAACATAACGCCTCTTTTTACGCATTTTTTCCTCTATTAATTTAATTTCCATATAAGGACATACTTAATAATACAAAAAAATTCGAATAGCATTGGGTATAAAATTGACTACCTTTAATACCCTTTAAGCATTTATGACAACTTAAACTTTAGTTTACCAAAAATATATTCGAAAAAAAATTCTATATCAGCCACGATATAAAAGTCCTGCACGAAACCCAATGTGCTTTAGGACATCTGGTGGTTATCATGACACACATTTATCAGCTGCACACACCACCCCATACTATGAAGATATTAATTATGTCGCCGGAACGCAAACAACGAGCATCTAGGTATGTTTCACTATTCACCGGAAGGAAGTAATTAACTGACTATTTAAAATGAAAGCTTCTTGGAAGTGGAAGACAGGGTAGAGGACATTGAGGAAATGCCAACAGACATGACATGGCAATGACAAACAAGGAGTTCGGTTAACGAGCGAAATTTTAAAACAATGCGGCGAGCAGTGCAAACTCATTATCCGGTATGCCAGCAACAGATTTAAGCTGATTGATGTTGGGATTAAAGTGTTCCAATACTCGTGCAGTCGTAATGGAAGTAACGAGCCAAGGCAAGCCAGTACTATGTCAAACGTACCAAACTCGTATGGATACCGCCGAAGTGAAATAAAATTATCAATGTTTTGTTACTGTTATTTAATAAAAGTTAATGGCAATAAATTTTATTTACGACCAAAATGTAATACGACGAAAATGAATGAAATGAAACACATTGCCTGCTCTCTCCCCCAAAAAAATATAACAAGCGAATCGGGGGGAAAATCCACAAAAAGAGACACGAACCCAGGTCGCATATAAATAACGCATACACAAATAAATAAAACGGCATACCAAGCGTACAATAAATATCCGATAATAAATAGCTAAAAATAAGGGATTTATGTAAACGTTTTCATTTATTTCAGGTTACCGCTTTAACCACGTTCTTTGGTTAAATAAACCAACAAACAAACGATTGCATTCCACGAAATAGGATAAGCATCTGAAATTTTGATTAATGATTTAAACCAAGTTTAATGACAAATATGCGGAAGAGCTTTAGACGAAAAAAATAAATAAATTACAAAACATAATTACAATAAAAGCAACGAAAGGACGAAGGTAAAAACAATGCTTGTCATGGTATCAGGTGGCATGTAGCCAGCTGTAATATATGCTAAGGAAGTGATAAACATAGAATAGGAAAATTCTCAATTTTCATTAAACATTTGGATCTGACATGGAAACGAAATTTGACAAATTCGAACATCACACTATGGGCCAGGAATTAAATTTTCTTGGTCAAAATCCATTTCAGGTGGAGAGGAAACATAGTTATCTATTTCAAATCTGGCGACTTTGAGCTTTACACCAGTAAATTTTTTTCCATGATTATGGGTCGCGGTTTACAAATGGCATGAGGCCAAAGTCAAAATTTCATATTTTTTTTTTGATTAACTTTATATTTGAACCTGTAAGGAAAGTTCAAAAGTCGGACTGCGGCGAATATATGATACCCTTCACCGCTTTGGGTACATACAAAATATTCTCATATGTACAATATCCGTTTGATACAATATGATGCTATATAGGAGAACAATTAAAATTGAATCGGACGAAATTAACTGAGTACAAAGATATTAAAACTAAATTAAAACAAGCCATACACATACTAATATGAAATTTATGACAAATTTAATGTCAATAATAAAATCGGACAAAGCTTTATATGGGAGATATATCTAAATCTAACCCGATTCAAAAAAAAAAAACAGTAAGGAAAGTAGTAAAGTCGGACTGGGCCGACTATATGATACCCTTCACCACTTTGGGGATATTCTACATATCTTTACAGATGTCGTCTTTTCGAAGGAACATTGACTTGAAATTGAACGAACTTAAAAATGCGATCTTTATATATAAGTAAACCGACTAACATCAATCCTTACACAACTTCCCGTTCTGCAATCTATTCCATACTTTGTAAATAGACTTTAAGCAAACTTTACGCACGCTATTGGTATGCTTCACTGTTTAAAATGTAATATCAATCAAGCACCCATTGATTATTTGGTTTACAATCAATATAAATAGGTTGAAATTATTTTTTAATTTCAGTACGTTATATTAATTTCAGTACGTTTTGCCAATCGGCCTAGCCATGGGTCTTTAGTACACCATTTACTTAAAATCGGACGAAAGTATATATAGAAGCTACATGTAAATCTGCACCAATTTCAAAAAAATTTGACACACGAAACGTTATAGTAACTTCAGTACATTGTACAAAATTGTGTGCGGGTCAGCCAATTTTTAGTTCTTTAGTGCAGAATTTACATTAAATCGGACGAAAATATATATTGGAGCTATACCTAAATCTGAACCGATTTTAACACATCATTCTGGATCCAATTCAGTACCCTATGGCAACCTTCGTGCAAATCGAAAGATATATAGGGACCTTGGTGCACCATTTACCTTAAATCGGACGAAAATATATATAGGAGCTATATGTACATCTGACCCGATTTCCTCGAAACTTGGCGCACGTCATTTTTGACCTAATTCAGTACTTTATGCCAAATTTCGTGCAAATCGAAAGATATATAGGGACTTTGGAAACCGATTTACCTTAAATCGGACGAAACTATATACGGGAGCTATATATAAATCTGGACCGATTTTCACGAAACTTAGCACACATTATTCTCGACCTAATGCAGTACTCTATGCCAAATTTCGTGCCAATCGAATCATATATAGGGACTTTGGTGCACCATTTTCCTTAAATCGGACGAAACTATATATGGGAGCTATATCTAAATCTCAGCCAATTTTCTCGAAACTTGGCACGCATCGTTCTTCACCTAATTCAGTACCCTGTGCCAAATTTCGTGCACATCGAAAGATACATAGGGGCCGTTTACATTAAATCGTACGAAAATATATGTGGGAGCTATATCTACATTTGAACCGATTTTTCCAATTTCAATAGGGTTCGTCCTTGGGCCAAATATGTGGCTTCTGCTAAATTTCCTATTTAACATCTACAGACGGATGGACAGACGGACGGACGGTCGGACGGTCGGACGGTCGGACTGACATGCATAAATCGACTCAGAAAGTGATTCTATGCATATTCTCAAAAGGAACCATGTGTCTATCTCGTTTCATTTTGCCTGTTACAAACATATGCACAAAGACATAATACCCTGTACCACGGAGTGGTGAAGGGTATAAACACTTGGCACACATCATTCCAGACCTAATTTAGTACGCTGTGCAAAATGTTGTCTTAATCGGACAAGAAATGACAGTATGGTGGTTCATTTACATAAAATCGGACGAAAATATATATGAGAGCTATATCTAAATCTAATCCGATTTCCACAAAAATTTCGCTGACGTCAATACAGTACGCAAAATTTTGTCTCAATCTGTCAAGCATCGACAATATATTGCAACATTTACATAAACTCGGAGGAGACTATATATGGGAGCTATATCTTAATCTGAACCAATTCCAGCGAAACTTCGCATACATGAATTTGAACCTAATTCATTGGTGCCAATCGGACTAAATTTAACTCTGTGGTGCTTCATTTACATAAAATCGGACGAAAATATATTTGAGAGCTATACCTAAATCTGAACTGATTCCAGCAAAACTTCGCATACATCAATCTAGATCTAATTCAATACTCGTTGTAAAATGTTGTCTCAATCGGACCAATATTGGGTATTTGTTGCATCATCTACATAAAATCGGACTAAACTATATTTGGGAGCTAAATGTAAATCTGAACCGATTTTTATACCCTTCACCATAGTATGGAGGGTATATTAGTTTTGTTTTTCCGTTTGTAACGCATCGAAATAATCATTTCCGACCCTATAAAGTATATATATTCTTGATCAGCGTAAAATTCTATGACGATTTAAGCATGTCCGTCTGTTGTAATCACTCTAGCGTCTAAACGAATTGAGATAGATCGCCAAAATTTTGCATAGAGTCGTCTTTCGTCTGCAGTCAAGATGGGATGGGAAGATGGGATATATCGGTCCACGTTTAGACATAGCTCCCATATAAGGGTTCCCCCCCAATTTTCGGTATTTTGAAGATCTTGAGTGCGTTTTTAACCGAATTCGCTGTGAATTCTTATAACAAATCCCCCCACTAAAAATGATAAATATAGGTAAATTTTTTCGGATAGCCCCCATATAAGGGTAACCCCCAATTTTATATTTGGTACCAAATATCTAAAGTAAAAATCATACATATCAGTCCACTTTTTCTGGTATCCCCCCCCCCCTTTTCCCCTTTTTCACTTGTTACCAATTTAAATAGGGTTCGCCCTTGGGCTTAATTAGTGGCATGTGTCAAATATCATTCAAATCGGAACATAAAAGCGACCTGTACTTTGTTCACACAACTATATGGACGGACGGACATTTGTTTTTATTAAATTGCAAATTTAATGTTTACCTCTAATTTTTAATATTATCTAATATACTGTTTTGTGGTTTTTGATGTGGTATAAGACATTTTTGGAAGTGTATAAAAATTGTCTGAGTGTGTGCTTTTTTCAATAAACACAAAATAATATGTTCGCTAGAAAAAAAATATGTCAATAAACATAATAGAAACCGCTACTGTTTATCTTTTTATACCCTCTGGCTAGTTTCCCTGAAATCGGTTCAGATATAAATAAATAAGAAAAACACGACGTCTTTTAGGATATATATGTACAATATACCCAATGTGGTGAAGGGTATCATATAGTCGGCCCAGTCCGACTTTACTACGTTCCTTACTGTTTTTTTTTCTGGCCTTGGTAAAACTTTAAATTAAATTTATTATCAGTCTACATTATTGAAAGTTGTTTTCTTTGACAATATTTTCCATCATTATTCCTTACAATTCGGCTCGTACTATTTGGAAAAAAAATAAATAAATTAAAAATAAATAAGAAAATCCAAAATTATTTATATATTTTTTAATATGTTATCAAAAGAAAACCCGACAACAAATAAAAATGAAAAACGCCTCCCTATTTTGTTGTTCTTTTTAATTGACAAGCAATTTCTTTATTTTTTATATCTAAAACAAGTCCTTTGAGTCCTGAGTACTACTGAGCTACTTTTGTATGGCAATTCATACAAAAAACAAAAAATAATAATAAAAGGTACTAATAATGGCTATTCTCAAAGAACATTAAATTTTTTCATTTATTTGAATGACCTATTTACACTTCTTGAGAAAAGAAAATGAAAGAAAAATGACATTTTGACCTGACACACAGAGGACCCCTGTACACACACACCCTCACTCAAAACGAAACCTTTCCTTGCATAGAAGCATAAATAATAAATGAAAAATGAGATTTCCTAGTGTCTATTATGTTTGCTCACAATTTATGCCACTTACCATCATTGTTGTGCTGCTCATAGTATTTTTTCTCCAATTGACCCAGTTGGACATCACAGCTTGCTGCCTTCTTGCCAACACCCACACCTAAGCCACCGCCGCCGCCTCCACCACCTCCACTAATGCCGATAGATTCCATCAAAGGCGAGTTTCCGGTACCCATGCTATCGTCCACGCCACCATTTCCACCTCCTCCGCTGCCACCATTTTGCTTTAGCAGCTCTGTGTATTTGTCTTTAATTATGGAACTACCTCCATTGATAGTTGTCTGTTGGTGTTTTTTATATTTCAGGGTATCGCCGCTATTGCTACCACCATTATCGACCACCAGCCCATTGACAACACCCAACATGACGTCTGTATTACCAGCCACAGTGGTGGTGCCGTGATTGGCCACAACCGTGCCATGTGATGTCAGCGGATCGTTGCCACTTAAATCGAGATGATGATGACGGTGACGCGCTGCCGTCGATGCAATGAATCGCTTATAGATGCAACAAGTAACCATGGCCAGGAATACGGATACACTCAGAAGGCCCAGAGCCATTAACGAGATGACTGCAGCCAAATTGCCCTGCAGTAGCTCACGACCACTCGGCTTCTCCACGAGCAGAGTCATTTGCACGGAATCCTTACCACCGGCATTCTCGGCAATGCAGGTGTATGTTCCCTCATCGGTTTTGTCGGCACCCAATATCGTTAGTCGTGATATGTAAACATTGCGGCCGAATTCCTTTTCCTTTGACTGGTCATCCTCAATGATTTGAATGAAAATTCGTTGTTGTTGTTGATGTGGCTGTTGGTGTGATGGCATTTGACCCGAACTAGTGCTGCGATATATTTGTTTATTGTAGTCCCAGGCAATGTGGGTATTGGCTGAGGCATGAACACGACAAACTAGAGTGACATTTTCCTTAGACGTAGTAATGGAAGCTCCTTTGGCTGGGAAAATAATTCGTGGCTTACAAGCAAAGGCCTCCGGCTGATCTTCTATCCACAGCATACCTCGCAGCTGGGCCGGATAATAGCAGGCTGTGGGTGGTGTATAGAGATTGCGACGCAGCACAAAATCACGAAATATTTGCAATTCACAGGTGCAATTCCAAGGATTGCCATCCAGCGACAGAGCTGTCAACCGTTTGACATTTTCAAAACTCTCCTTGCGCAAAAAGTTCAAGCGATTATTGTTCAAATAGATTTGTGAAAGCAGAGGGACATTTACGAACACCTGATTGGCTATTTTCACCAAACGGTTATCCTTCAATTCGATCTTATGAAGATATTTAAGATTTTGAAAAATGCCATCACCCAACGATTCCAGGATATTACCATTGAGAACAATTGCTCTAACCTTTACCAGACGGGCAAAGAGATTCGCCTGCAGCACCTTTAGCAGATTATTGGATAAATCCAGTTCAATAAGTATTTCCAACTGGGTGAAGGTCCTGGGATCTATATGCTGCAAGGAGCTATTCCTAATGTACAACTTATGCAGATTCGTCAAGTCAGCCGTGAGAAAAGCATTCTCTTCCAAATAAACGATACGATTGAACGATAAGTCCAGAACCTGGACTTCGTTGCTTAAATTTTCCGGTACCGAGGATAGGGTAAGATTTTTACAATCAGCCGTCTTCTTACCCGAATTCCATTTGCAATGGCAGTCACCACAGTCCATTAACCAGTCGGCGGAGCTAAGCACAGGCATTTCACAGAGCAATGTTAATACCAGCACTCGCAAAAACCAGGCCAGACTACAGTTGTTGTATTGTCGCAAAAATGTCTTCGGAAACAGGCGACTTCTGATGCTACTGGAGGTGGTTACGCTTGTTTGGCGATTATGTGAAACGTCCTTAAATGTATCCGTTTCCGTTTGCTTTGAAGACTTCGTAAGTGTGGAAGTTTGCCGAAGATAGTTGTTGGTGGTGCGGTTGGGCTTGGTCGATGGTCTGCTCCTTTGTTGAAAAGTGCTTCCAACAAACGCTTGTCCCTTTTCTATTCGCCTTAAATGAGAACTCACAGATGTTTTTGCTTCTTCTTCACTTGAAGTGTTATTCTGGTGCTTGAGGTTTCTGGAACGTTTGTGATATTTTTGTGGCTTCGTCCTAGTCGGCTGCTGCTGCTGTTGTTGTCGCTTAAGCTGTTTTTTATTGCGCTTGTTTTTCATGTTTTTAAACTTTGAGCGCCTTTATCACTTTCCTGCTGACATCAGTCACGTTGATGTTGATTTGGGCCACCGTTGCCTCCTCACTCGTTGTGGCAGTTTGCTGAAGCGTTTCAGCAATACCCTTCGCAATGATGTTGGTGGTCCTAATAGCTCTGTTACTCTTATTTTTCGCTGTCTTTGCATTAAAATAATTTGTTGCTTGTTGTTTTACCAAGCAAATTGTTGTCGTTGTTGTAACAATCAGATATTCGTTGCTATATTTATTTTTGGTTTATTCGTTTCGTCTCAGTTCGTGTAGCTGGCAATCTGGTTGCAGCTATACTTGGGTTGTGGAGAAAGTTTTGTTTTGCTGGTTTGCCGCAAGCCCAGTCGGTCGTTTGGTCTCAGTTGACTTGTGGTAACGTTCAAGTTGGCACAATGACAGGTGGTCAGAATGGTGCATTAGACCAAGCTGGAAATAAATGAAAATGTTAAAAGTTCATAGATTAGATCGAATTTGTTACAATGTTTTGTTGTTGTAGATTTTAGGTTAACAAGTTATTTGGAGAAATGATGAACAGACAAGAAAATAAATAATATTGCATATTTAAATATTTAAGGAATATAAATATTTCAATTAGGCAAGATATAATGAGATTTGATTACACCCACTTCAGAGTACCGAAAATATGTTACGTACCACTTTATATGGGGACTATTTCAAATTACAGGCACTTCGATGGGAAAATGATTCGATGGACGGCGATTTGTGCAGATGCATATATAACTTTCATATATATTTTCGAAAAATTTCGCGATAATTGTGCACCAAATAAT